CTTGTTAAAAAATCTTTTATATATATATATATATATATATATATATAAGAAAGCACGATAAAAAACACGTTTAATGGAAATTCACACTTGATAAAATTCGTTAAACTCGTTGAGATAAACCATCACGTTATCCTAGTTTGTTTCATTGAATGAAATCATGATGCTTCGCGCGATACGTGCGCGATTCATTCTACGATTTGTAGTTTCAAGCGCAGAAACAGCGTCAGCTGCTGGAGGCCACTTTATCGAGTAAAGTCACTGCAGCAGCTTTTACGAGAAGTACTCGCTGAATAGTACTCGCAGCGAAGGGCACTTCGACAAGTAAAGTGTACACAATGGATTCATCGCGGTATAGCTAAAATCCTAACGCTCGAGCCGCATCATTGAATTAATCTTAGTCTGCGGGCTCTTACCGTAATCGTGGAAATCGTGAAAAATGATCCTATTTATTTCGTTTAAGACAAAGATCTATCGGCCAAAGTACTTCAGATTTGGCTCTCGGACCAATATATGCGGGAGGGATTCTCGTATTCCGCTTACTCAGCTCCGTATAAAAATAATTAACGGTGATCTCATTAGAATAATTGAAAACGCTAAAATCCCACGTGGCAAAGATCTTTATAAGCGAGCTTTGCAAAAGTTTTTTACTCTTTTGCAGCGTAACGTGATTTTTAGCTGCGAGAAAACGTGAGATAGTCCTTTAATGAAACCGGCCACGAAAGTTAAGATCGCAAAAGGAGCTATCAGAAGAAATTAGCATGTGAAAGTACAGAATGTGTATGCATAGACCGCACGGAATGCCACGGTGGCAAAGAGACAGCCTCATATCCCGCACGAATAAATTACGCAATTTCTAATTAAGTACAATTAAAGTGTCTATTAGAGTTGGCTCGTTGATCATCCCTCTGCGGTGAGCGACATTTTTCTCGTAGATTCACATTCGTTAAATTATTCAAAATGCTGCGCATGTAAATTCCATTTTTATCAAGTATACTTTTTTTCGCTTCCCTTTTCCTTCATCGTACAATCAAGCACACAATAATATCATGCGATTTATTGTTAATTAACAATAATTAACTCAGATACAAACGAATATCAATGATTACACTTCAGATGTTATCGTAAAATTTACTATTGATTGATTCGCCAAGAGAAATTAAATTTTATGTATTAGATACTCTTTATCAAATAGATTTATTAAGTTCTATTTTTCGACAATAAGTAGCACTTAATAATATACACGTGTACGGCGGAACTTTACAAGAATTATGAGACAAAGCCCAGCGCATTCTAGTCGCAGTGAATATTTTATGAATATTATCCAATCGCAATCTAGTCTATTCTATTGTAATAATTGCAATATTGTGGCAATTGCGACCGGACAATTATAATCTACGAGAAGCGATTACACATGGCATTTTTCAATACGATGTGTTGGTGTAACTCTCATTGCTTCAGGGCCATCTCTAAAGATCTTTTAAACGCAGGAAAAATTTTTCCGATTCGCCATGTTTATCGGCAAGCGTTACGTAAAGAACATATTTGCTTAAAAACGTCATATTTCTAAATTATTACGGCTCAGACTATTTGTCAGTTGTCATATTTATATCACAACTGTCGGGGAAGGAAGCAGAATGACAGCTTCAAGCAGAATTTTCTCCCGGAAGCAGAATTACCGGTCTCGTCATTTCTCGTCCGTAACTGGCTCGACTTTCTTTCGCTACGAGGAAAGACGAGACGAGGCTGGCTGCACGACCAATTTTTGTGGCGCGCGACACCGAGACGAGCCGCGTATCTCATTGCAGTAAGCGGACGACCCAATTTCATAACAATGCAACCCCCGCCAGCGTGCGCGCGGGCGTGTGCGAACGAGATGCAAACAAACAGAGGCAGAGCAGAGAAAATGGAGATGAGGGAGGCGGGCCGTTTTATCGCTACCGGGCTCGCAGTAGGCGAGCACTGGAGTTCTGCAATTTAGAAAGGCACCGGTTTATGAGCGCGGACGACGGTTATTTATACTTATGCATTAAATGTAAAAGGGAGAGGATTCGCCCGCGCATTTTATTAACGTCGAATGAAGTTTACCTCGCCCTCGCGCCGGGCGATTTGTCCATTAGAATCCATTAGACTCCGTAATTTCTAATTACCGGACGGAAGAAGGCGACCGACTCTCGTGAAAGTCACGAAGGTTACGAGAGCCCGCGAGACGATAACCAAGTACCAAAGGTGCAATTTTAATTTACAAAATTATTCACGCGGGAATATGCTCGCCGAAATAAAGCACCGCTCGCAAGTAAAATAACGTCGCGGCTCGTCTGCGGATGGTAAATATACATGCATTTGTGTGTTTGCCTGGAGAAAGGTCCACGGAAAGCTTAATTCGCACCCGACGACGACAACGGACGGTCGGGACAAGAAGAGAGACAGAGAAAGAAATGAAGAGAGAGAGAGAGAGAGAGAGAGAGAGA